GACACCAGCGGCTGCCAGACTGGCCTATCGCGTAAAGCGAACCATCGGAGAGATGCACAAACGTAAGAGCCTGCCATGCTCGCTGCGCAATCCCGCGATCGCACCAGTACTTCCAATTGTATGCTTCTGTCTGGTTGGGAAGCAAGGCGGCCGGCATCAAGCTTCTTCCGGGGGTCCACGTGAGACCGCTGTCGTTGGATGTTGAGATCCAGACATCTTGCCCCATGCTATCCTCGTCAACCGGAGCTGAAGAGTAGATGAGAAAAACGTTTGAGCCAACAGAGAAGAGTTCCGGGTGATGAGCGTAAGTTCGGTTTTCAGCAACTCCATTGTAAATCTGAATCTCCTTTTGGACGGGGATTTGTTCCCATCCTGTATAGAGAACGTCGCTGTAGTTCAGAGGCGGGGAGATCTGCCAGAGGCTATCAGGTGGCGGCGGTGCTCCAGCGATTGGGCGGAGCCATGTCGAAACCAGGAGAAGAAGGAGCATTGATAATGAATTCGCCGAAGGACTGCAGCGCATCTCCAATCGGATTCTCTTGAAACACGACAATTGGAGATCAACCTAGTCAGCCGAAAGAAATAGTGTTCCGTGAGGTTTGCTTGACCGCAGTGAAGCCTGGACGGAAATATGCTTCTTCGGGGTCGGGTTAATTGAGAGCAACTTGCTAAGGGCCAAGATAGTTCTTGGCATAGAAATGAAGCTAATTGGGGGAATATTTTGGTGGGGGGACTCCGGTACGCGGGGTTCTGCTGATCGGGAGTGACTCCGAATGAGGGGCTCGCGCGTTGTGCACATCAATTAAAGCATGTACTTGGTGTGAAAACATTGATGTCATCCGATCCTGTGAAGAAGGAAACCTCATTTTGAATGGGACTCATTCCAACTCTCTACCTACAGAGGCAACGTGTGTTCTGTGATCGGCGCAGGTGCACGCGTTACTTTGGCTAACTAGAGCTGCGTCTTGACGGGGGCGTGAGTAAACCTACCTACGGCGAATCTTCTCGAAAAGCTGTTCCATGGTAGATGCAGCAGGGTCGCATTCAGTCGGCAGACGTATCCGGGAGAAACCAGATGAGGTATCTTGGTCGAGATACTACCTTACATCTGGCACAAAGACTCATGAACACCTGCTATGAGATCTCGACACCTATTGATAGTACCTCACCAGGTTAAGAATAGATTTTGTATCATGACGAGTTTGGAGTCCGGATTCTTAATGACATAGGTAGTCTCACATAGTTACACGTCAAAATAAGAGATTGCAGCGGGCTGAGATACTAGACGGGAGTTGACACGTAGTTGCATTTTTGTACGAGGGAGTTCAACACTTCCGAGTCTGCATGTACCGGGAAAGGGCCTTCGATAAATAGAAACGTTTCTGAACTTCGTAAAACCCACATCTGACTTCGACTTCGTTGATCAGTCTATCAAAGTCACGGTTGTTGTGAAGCCCTGGTGGAACCATCCCTCTGCCCCCCACCCCGGAAGATCACAACAGCCCCAGCAACTTCGAGTCAGGCATTTCCAAAAAGGTCAGCCCTTCAATTTCCAACTTCAATAGTCTCAGTCTCCCAATCTCCTTGCAATGATTCCGGCCCAGCTCCAATGGACTGCAGCTTTTCAGGCTTCTGCAACAGCTCCTCCGTAGTCAACCCAGGCCATACCGCCATCCATCTCCCCTTCAAAGACACCCTTGCCTTACCCGCCTTCCACACATCCTCTGGCACCCTGGGCTCGCGCAGTTCGACCACGTTCTCGGCGCTTTCGCCCGGCTTCAGGGTCACCAACGACTCAGGGCCGGGTGGCATCTTACGCCCGACCTTGATCGCAGCGATGTGCATCGGCTCAGAGGCACCAGCCGGAGTGACGGATACCTGGCCCAGGCCGAGGACGATTGGGTCAAGAGGGGAGTTCCATTTGATGATCGTCACGGGAGTGTCAGGATGTGTGTTTTTGACGGATACCTTCACGCTGGGAGGAGATGAGGCAGATTGAGACACGCTCAACTCCAGGTTGCTGAGGAAGGACGACGAGTCGGCCATTTTCAGACTCTCAATCGGGGAATGGAAATAGAGCGTGAGAAGAATGACGGCGCCGAGGATCAGGGCGACCGGGAACGTGAGGGGTCTGTGGTTGCGGCGCTGAGGGATCATGTATGATGACTTGAGTGTCGGCGAACTGGATTGCTGTATTGATTGCTGGACGAACAAGCAACAAGAGTTCCTCTTCAGTGATCGAGTTTACAATAGGGACTGTGTCTGCCTTGGTACTGGTGTTTGCCGGCAGAATAACGGCAGACGGCGATGCTCGTATCAAAGGGGAATACGAGGCTTTTTCTGGCGCACGTGTGTATGCTCACTGAACAGGCCGCAACTCCTGAATGGATCGACGCCAGCCCTGATGCTGGTTTAGGCAGGTGGCAAGCTGGGTTAGGCACCGGAGGTTTGCTGAATATTAAAGCGGACGGAGCGTGGTGCGGGGGGCCGGAGGAGGTTACGTATACGGAGTGCGCTGCCGAGATTAGCTAATGCTTGAAATGGGACTGTCCAGAACCCGTCCTTAATCAAAACGTCGCGCTGCCAAGCCTGCCAAGGCTGAAGCGCGGCGTTCTCGTTGGTGGTGAGCGATCGTGAAAATAAACAGCGAACCAGGCGCCGAAACGGCCCACTACTCTATTTATTCTAAACTCCGAGCCTGGCACCTGCGACCCCATATCTCGTGCTGATCACCACACTCAGGGGGCAACTATTCACGACGACCGTTCCATCTTGCAAGCAAGCGAGGGAGGAATAGCCTCAGCTAGAGTGCCGTGGTCTCTGCAACTGGGTCTGCCATGGGGCTGATCCGGCTTCTGTTTGGCCCATGGCTGCCGGTGTCCTGTCTTCTCTGCAGTTTGAGGCTATCGGAACGTCTTGGCTGCACACCCGCATTCCGACCAACGCGTTAATTCTCCGTGGCGGAAATGGGCTTGGCCTCGATCTGGATCCTTGATTTTTCTTCTCCGTTACGCAGGATATTGCTCGTATTATAGGCGAAGATTGCCATCGTAACATGAGTCTCCCCGTGAAAGATGCAGCCATAAAGCTCTGCTGTCCCGCTGATCCGCAAGCATAGCTGATGTTGTGAACCCATCAACAGTTTCCATTCTTTCTCTCCAACTCCGTTCGTTCTTTTTCATCATTCCTTATTCACAATGAAGGCCGCCACCGTCATCTCCTGCCTTGCGGCCCTCGCCAACGGCGCCGCCATCAACCTTGGCAAGCGGGCTGGGCCCCTCGATGTCAAGATCGAGCAGGTCGGCAACAGCGAATTGAAGGCCAGCATTACCAACACTGGCACCACGCCCCTGAGGGTGCTCAAGGCTGGTTCGATCCTTGACGGATCCCCCGTTGAGAAGGCCCAGTTTTCCACGGCCTCGGCAGATGGCGGTACGTGAACCCAACATCGATAGAGAACATTGAACGAACATGATCTAACAGCGTCAACAGTCAACAAAGTTGCCTTCACCGGCGTCCGCGTCTACGTCCACGATGCTGACCTCCCCGACACCGCCTTCCGCACCATCGCTGCCGGCGAGGTCGTCCAGGTCCAGTGGGACGCCGCCCAGGTCCACGACCTCAGCAGCGGTGGCGACTACAACATCTCCAGCACCGGCTCCCTTCGCTACGCCGAGGAGGGTAGCAACAAAATCGTCGGCCAGGTCGTTTTCGACTCCGGCGTTCTGCAGGCCAAGGTCGACGGTGTCCAGGCCGCCTCCGTCCACGCCGCCTTCCACCAGAGTCTCGCTGAGAAGCGCGTGACCATTCAGAGCGACTGCACTGGCTCCAAGAAGACCGCCGTCACCGCCGCCCTCTCCAAGGCCAAGAGCTACGCCACCGCGGCCCAGACCGCCGCGACTGCCGGCACCCGCGTCGAGCAGTACTTCGGCTCCTCCTCCTCGAGCACCAAGAGCACCGTCGCCAGCGTCTTCGGCAAGGCCGCCACCCTCCTCGGCAGCACGTCGAGCGGAGCCGGTCTGCACTGCACCGACGTCGGTAACTTCTGCAGCGACGGCGTCGTTGCCTACGCCCAGCCCGGCACCGACGGATACATCGTCGTCTGCGACTACTGGTTCCAGTTCCCCGCCTCTACCAGCACCTGCCACGGGGCCGACCAGCCCTACGTCCTGGTCCACGAGTCCACCCACTTGTCCGAGGTCGCCGGCACTGACGACGTGTGCTACGGCTATGAGGGATGCGTTGACGGCCTCAGCACCTCGCAGGCTCTGAACAACGCTGACTCCTTCGCCATGTACGCCCATGGCATCCAGACCAACTGCTAAGTTGGGCATCGGCCGATGCAACATTGTGGAAACTTCTTTGTATATTATAGGTACATCTGGAAATGTATAAATTCGTCTGTGACTTCAACTAAGGATTCTGTGATGTTGGCCAAACAAAGCCTATTGACGTTGAACTGAAAGAGGGCGAGCACAAACTTGTGATTATGTCACATGTATCTGACGACGCTATACTACTGCCACCACTGTAGCGAGTCTAGCATTTTGTATCGTGCCTCTTTCCGTGTAAGGTTGGTCATATCAAGACCTCAGGTTCAGTCTATCCGCTCTCCTTTACCCATACTACCTATCTAGGACTTTTCCGTCAGGTACACCAGCATTTGGTCAATAGTCCATTTCCCTTATTCGAAGTTTCAGAGGGATAGATTCTAGTCATTATGCACGATTTCTAGCATGCGAATTTCTGAGGATGCTATGGCAGAGGCATTGATTGAGTAGCGAGAGCTCGACTTCCACGCAAGAGTTCAACGCAATTCAGAACACGTTACCTAAACAAACATGAATACAATGACCTGGATGGATGTGGAAAAACTTCATGTCAGACGACTTTATTAGAAAGTTAACTGCTCTCTCATATCCCTCACCAAGCCACGTCCTCTCCTGCAATTTGTTGCAAGCTCCCTATGTAAACTTTGTTGCTCCTCAACCTGGCCTGCCTCATCTTTGCCGGGGCAGACCCGTCTGCAATGTGTCGTCGCACAAAAGCTGTATCCAGCTGGGTGATGGCGGGTCAGGTTCAAACTGTCTAGTCGTAAACTGACTATGCCAACCTGTCTTCCATTGGAGCATAGTCCAACCCTTGTTCTCTTCTACCAGTTGTTCCACGTCCCAAGCGTCGCCCACCCAGAAATTGCATTTGACGACAGACGTCCCAGCTACAATAGCATGGATTGCCTGCGGAAAACCTTCGCGTACATACCAGGAATTATCTGATGAACCGGGCTGTTCTGGATCCTCACGCTGGCCAAAGTGGGTACGTTTGTGATCTCTTGCGTCTCTTCGCCGGACATCCCATCGCAGCGGTGGAAGAATGTCCCGCTCAAAGCAGGCATCAATTGCTTGCTGCCACACAGCGTCTCGCTGAACCACTTCCCGGAAGATTTCCGCGCATGACGAGTCTCCATCGATAGTGAGGGTGAATGAACCTTGTGGCATTCCGGCATGTTCAAGTTCCAATGCCTCTTGTGTCCAGATCGCGACTTGGGATGACCATTCCTTCTGTGTGCTAGTTCCTTTGGTTGAAGGCTTTAACGCACCGCCAATAGCATATAAATCCCTGTATGTGATAGGTAGGATGGTCCTCCACATGTTGACCCGTCGTTCCACACGAAGGTGCGGGTTCTCTTGGCAAAATGGAATGAGCCCAAGCCCATGACATTCAGAGAATGCGACTGCCAATCGTTCTTCTTTGAGTAGGATACTCCTAACGTTCAATCGGGCATCCATCGATAAAGACTTGAGAAACCGAACAGCTACAGCCGCTGCGGAGTAGTGATACTTGATCAAGCTTGTGTCGAGTCCGTATTCGCGATCCACCCTTTCACGGCGAGCCTTCCGTTCCGCGTCCATCCGCTCCGCCTCAACATTGCGGATAAGATTCATCATGTCGTCAACTCTTTGTCGGGTCGGAATTTCCCAGGGATCGGGATTTAGTCCGGCCAGCCTCTCAAGGTGTGCTGGGTACGGCCCATCATTCCTGCGTTCCTCTCCAAGGACAAAGACTCCGTTCTGAAAGTTTGAGAATTGCCCCGGGCTGAATCGATCCTTGTGTGCCAGAATAGTTTGCATGGCTGCACGGGAGAAATCGCGGAAGACAGAGGGTGTTTCCCCGCAGCAGCCAGTAGGACTGACATTTCGCCAGTCCGAATGTTGCCTCAACTTGCCCTGGTCGTTGGTCCACCATTTGTTTGCTCTGCCTTTGATCATGCCGAGGTACGGCGCAAATCTCGGATGATTCCGCGTGAGTTCCTCCCAGACATCATCAGGAACGCTGAGATTATCGGGGTATATGTTGTGCAACTTCTCCCCTAGCTGCTTCGATATACGCATGACTAGATCGCCGAAACGACCGGCGGTGACGCGATGCTTGTCAGAACATATCGTAGAAAAGTTGAGAGTATTCGTAGAGAATGGCACGGTCCTCAATTCATTTGCCACGGCTTTGCAGGTGAGCATGAAGGCAAGGTCGATGTTGTCGCCATTGGCACATTTGAGGGTGTTACTTTCGAAGTCCAATACATAACCGCCGTCGCAAATGACGTATTGGCCGTAGATCAGATCCCGCACCTCGCGGGGCAGATCGAAGAAATGGGGCATGACGTTGATTTGAAGTGATGGGTAGTCGGGAAGATGTCGCTGCCAGTGCAATTCAAGGTTGCACTATTGACCTAGGAAAGGTCGAGCATTGACGAAGGACCAAAAGGAATTGGAGACAGGGGTGGCAGGCCATGTTTTAAATAACGCCGGGGCGGCGCGTCTGACTCATCTCTGGGGCTTGCAAGGTGGATGACGAGACCCCCAAAAGAAGTTTGGTCAGAACCTACACAACGTACATCACCGAGGAGACAGGAACAAAGTTTTGGGGGGCCAAAAACCCCATTTTTATGTTGGCAGTCTGGTCAACCCGTATAAGTAGGTATCGCAGTTCACTCTATACATTTTTTTCCCTGTACTTTAAACCCAATAGCAGCACTTTGACCTGTGCCCGATCTCGATAAAGCAAACAAACAAATCTCGGTATAACTGGTCGTTGACTCTCGGCTTAACTTATCCCCGGCCTGCGACGTTATCGTTAGAATGGTTTAGAGGGGGTTGGAGATCGGCCTACTGTACAGAAGAGGGCAGGCGGGCAGGCGGCGGGGCGGCAAAACGTACTGGCGAGAGCGTCGTTCGCGACGCTGTCGTCTGACTACATTAGTCACTTAAGCAAACGAAATAAGGCGGAGAGGCTGATGTGCAGAGGAAAAAGACCGGATAAGCAGGGGTATGTTTTACGTACTCGCGAGAGCGTCGTTCGCGACGCTGTGGATGGTGGATCAGCCATGACAACTGGGGAAGAAAAAGAAAGCGGGAGAACCAGAGTACAGAAGAACGAAGTCAGACAGGCAACGGTAAGGCTAGACATACTCGCGAAGGCGTCGTCCGCAACGCTGGACGGTAGGTTAGTCACGAAGACTGGGGAATGAAAAGAAAGGGGAAAAACAACGAAACAGAGGAAGAGAAGCAGGCAGAGACGTACCGGAACGCTGACAGCATTCGCAGCTTAAGCTTGCCAAGTTAGGACTAAGAAATCAAGTGAAAGAAATGGAGCGCAGAGGGGTGCGAATGAGACGAGGGTTGACATACCGGCTGGAGCCTGGCGATGGCTTGAACCTACACTCGAGGGCGCAAACTCAATGGTGTGACTCTTCGCTAATGTTGCGAGTCAGCCTGATTCCGGAAACTCAAACTCATGGGAGTATGAGTGGCGCACCTACCGTGGCCAAAAGGGTTCTCGTGGCCATGGCATAAGAACTCGACCGCTGCAAAATCTGATTAGACAGGAATCAACCAAGCGGGGGCCAGAGGGCTACCTGCTTCGAACGAGGCCTCGAGCCTGTTCCTCACATCCTCCTCCCATACGCGCGGCGACCCTGGAGGCAGACAAGTTAGCAAGATTCCAGATACGTAAGATTAAAAACTTACTTACACGATGTCCTTCCCCCTCTTTGAATACGCGCGCAAGCCGAGCAAAGCTGAGCTGGACGACCTGATCCGCGAGACCAAAGTCAAGGATATCAAGGGCTCCAGCTATGGCCTGCTTGCCTATGCCGACAAGATAACTAGAGTAAGACTTTAGTATATGATATAATAGAAGCAAGATTACTTTATAATACCCCTTCTCAAATTCACCCGGCTATACCTGCTCAAAGCTGTGACCGACGAAGACGATCTACGGCGGTTGTACGGCCTCGAGATCGATATGGACATGGTCGAGGCTACCGATAATGATCCCAACGCCTGTGAATATCTCACAAGCTTCCTCGAGATAGCCAAGGCGGCCTAAGCGCTTCTGAGAGCATTAGTTGAAGTGTCCCAGCTCCAAGGCGACATCAGCTTACGAACGTCGGTAAGTCGGGAAGGGCGAATCTGCTCCAACATCAGTTAGCTGAGCGCAACGGTCTCGTCTTGGGTCGTTGCTCACATACATGTCGAGAGTATGGCTGACGGCGGCAGGGCTCTTCCTGGGTGAGTCAGTCAACATACAAAAGCCCATCGACAAATCGAAGAGGGAGGCTGACCCACGTCGAGACTGCGCGGTAGGGCGGAAGACGTTGTCTGCTTGGATGAGTTAGTCCGGAGCCATCATGCCAACACGGCAAGCATCTTCACTGACAACGGCGCGACGGCACGGAGGCCTCGGGGCCCCCGCGCCTGGCGGAGCCTGTCGGCCAGTCAGAACAGATGGACGTGTTGAAAAGATGGGGGTCCTTACTCACGGCGCAGACGTCCGAACGGCGGAGGAGACTTCTGGGCGGAAGCGAGTCAGCCTTGGCAAGAGATGACAAAAGGAAAGACGAAGAACGGAAGCGATGGTGCATGGAAGAGATGATGCATGGATGAGGTACGGATGGTGGGGAGGATGAGACCGGAGGAAGGACTGACTGACGGAAGACGGGCGCGGATCGAATATGGCGTCTGTTTGAAAACCCAGTCAGCGACTGCAAGAGGGGACAACGGAACATATGAGGGACGAAAAGCACAGATGATGGATCGGGGGAATGGATCGGGGGAATTCCCGGGCTGGGTCGGGCTAACTGACGAAGGGCGGGTGCGGCTCGAAGGAGCCTTCTGGTGGAAACACCAGTCAGTCCCGAAAGCAGAGGGCAACAAAAGGAAATGGAGCCCGCGTTGCGAGGATGACGGGGGAAGATGATTGTTGATCGACGAAAGATGGAGGAGACTGACGAGAAATGGAGGAGACTGACGGAGATGGAGGCGGCTGGAGGAAGACGGTTGACTTCTGCATTGGTCAGCGGAGATGCAAAGAAACGCAGCCAAAGGGTAGCACTCACGGCTCGTTGTAATGGTCGAAGTCCTGAAGGATATGAACGAAAGTCAGCAGGGCTCGTTAACGAGGGGGATGGGCAAACGAGCTGACTGACGGAGGAGCGTGGAGGCGAAGCTTCAGGAAGGTCTGGGGGTTAGATGCCCGGGCAATCGGACCCTGCGTTCTCCGGAGAATGGGACATGAACTCACAAGATGTCTAAGTCTGAACTACCTTGCCATTTGCATGGCACAGTCAGTAAAGCAATGTGACGAGGGCGAGGTCGAGAAAAAGAAAGGGGAAGAGTACCTACAGTCACGTGACCCGAAGGTCGTTAGCAGAGGGCGAGGGGACCAGTCTAGCTTTCGCAGTCAATACCAGTCAAATTTCACAATACAAGGCCAGCGGCCCTACAGGTAAACAGAGTTTGGATTGAAGCTAATCTAGATGTAACCGCGAGGTCCAGTTACGTAGTAGCCCCGGGCGATGGTCTGCGGCCGTCCCGCAAGGCCAGGCGGTTGTCTGCGCGCAGGTCGGGAAATTGTGGGTTGGGCATGTGCTTCGCGGTCCATTTGAATTGCTCTAGGCCAAAGTAACGGATGGCAAAGTTGGCAGCGAGTTCCGGGTAACATTCAAGCAGCGCTTGAAAGTGCAGACGGCCACCCACGGCCCTGCGAAGATGTTCGCGGGGTCTGTCCAATAGTTTGCAGTGGATGAACAGGTGCTCTACAGTGTGGGCGTGCTCCCCACAAGGACACATGAAAGTTTCTTTCCGCTAGGCGATGGCAGCAGTCAGCATCGAAGATGAGACCTGGTGACCGAGTGTGTGCAATGGGGCAGGTTGGAGATGAAAAAGAAGACAGGTGGAAAAGGTCCTCTCCCTAGAGTGTTGGGAGTTGGGTACGCGGCACAACAGAGAGACACCCAGGGAAGGTAGGATTTGGCGAGTGAAGACGACCCCTGGAAAGGGCGAGAGGGGATGGGGCAGGCAGAGAGATCATTCGAGCGTCCGATGAAGCCATTGCGTGACAAGGACGGGCAGCTGAGCCAACTTGGACAGTCGAGCCCGTCACAAGCAACTGTGCATTGGAGAGAATGCTGACCTGCTAGGTGTCCTCACACAGCAGGCATGGATTCAGGCATCCCAGAGATGGAAAGAAGACAAGAACGACGATGTTTGGATTCCAGAGCGTTGGGTGAAAGAGTGGCAGACAAAGGAACGCAGAAAGACTTACGTGCATGTCGAACAGTGGTTTGTTCAAGCCGTTGATGCCGGTTTTGATGCCCAGTAAAATGGTACCCTGTGCCTTGCGAAGAGGTTTGTAGGCCTCGAGATTGTGTTTCCCATACGTGCCTTTCCAGGTTGGAGCGTCGTAGGCAAGCTTGCCGAGTAAGCAACGACGTTTGTTGGACACCTCGATCCACGACTCCTTCATTCTCTCTTCTGCCAGGTCCTTGGCCAAAGACTTGATGATTTGCTTCAACCTCGCGGCCCGCTTGGCCGTGCCTCTGACGGAATCCGGCGGCACGGTCCAAGTCTGTATCTCGACGGCGAGCTGTAACTCTGCGTTCACCCTGAGAAGCGTGTTGGCTTCGTGGTAGGCGACGCAGTACGGGTGCCTTTGCAGAACCTCGCTGGTGACACGAATGCGGTCGTGAGTTTGCTCCCAGAGATTGCAGAGCGCCATGCCTTCCGGAGTGCCCCTGTTCGAGGCTCGGTACGCGCGGGCGCACCTGTGGAGGAACACAGACATCCGCTCAATGTACAATTCCTTGCATAGAGCGTGACCAGAGGCGCGAGGGAAAGCGCCAGAAATCTGTCTCAAGCAATTGTTTTGCTGTGTTTCCAAAAGGTCCACGACAGACTTGGCTAGAGTCCAGTTGCAGGGAGGCCCCCCCGGGGTCTTCAACACAAACCAAACGGGACATGCGTAAGCAACGATAGGACGAACAGCGGTGATGTACCTCGTGCGGAGTTCCGAGATCGATGCGCCCCAAGTAGTTGCGCTGATTCGGCGGAGAAGAAACATCTTCCTCCGGACCTTCGACAAAACCTGTGTGAACATCCATCGTCAGCGGCTGAACACAATGGTGTAGTGAAAAAAAGACTTACATTGTTGACATGCTCCACCCAATTGAGATGATAGTCCAGCGTGACCCCAAGAATTTCCATACTTTCTACTGCCTTGAGTGGAAACCCGTCAACCTTGGGCATGTCTGTGATTGCGGGACCCCTCTGCAACATATGCATGACTTTGGTCTTGTGGGGGCCGAACTCGGTGCCATTCAGAGCCGCAAATTCGGTCAGGAGCTGGTACAATATTGCCAGAGCCTCGTTGTTCTGCTTTATCGAGGGAGATGCAACCAACAGAGTGATGTCGTCCACGAATGTTGTAATGAGAAGTTCCTTTAACTGGAGGAGCCTCGCGTTCCTGTTAGTTTCCATGCTGGGCATTGCCTTGAGCTTCTCGAGGAGCGGCAGAGTGAAGAAAATGAAAAGAATTGGCGACAGCGGGCTTCCTTGAGGAATGCCAATGTTGATCGAGAATTTCTTGGAATGGCGCCCCTGGACCCTGACCGTGGTGCTGCGACTGGAAAGAAAGGATGCCACAAACTTGACCATCCAGCCGGGAACTCCGTATCTAACCAGGATATTCAGCAAGTGTTGTCGCCGGACGCGGTCATAGGCTCCCGTGATGTCGAGGGCGCAGATGGTGACGAAGATCTTTTCTTTTTTGGCGAACCAGTTCCTATACACGGCTTCGACAAGAAACTCGAGCGCCTGGGTGGCGCTCTTCCCTCGGCCACCAAACTGCTCAAGAAGAAGCCTATTGGACTCGATCAGAAAGTCGGTCAGTCTGTCAGCAAATAGCCTCTCAAGGATTTTGGCGATAGCAGAAAGTAAAGCTATCGGACGGTATCCTTCGGCAGAAGATGACAGTTTCGATTTCTTGCGGATCATCACCGTCACCGCCTCCTTGAATGCTTCTGGGTGGTAGGAAAGGTTGAGGCACGCTTGCATGGGCCGCTGAAGGACGCTAGTGAGGATGTCTTCCGAATCGAGGATGTCTTCGGAATTATTTTCGGCATCGCCAGCAAACACTCGCTCAGGATTCTTCTCGAGCGGCAAAAGCATCTTGAGAACATCGATGGAAACTCCGTCCTTTCCTTCCGCCTTGTGCGCAGGCATGTTCTGGACAATGCAAGCGATCTCATCAGGCTTGATCTGCCGCCTGGCTCTTTCGGTTTCATCGAGGTTGCCCGGGAGATATGGGATGTCAAACACCGACGGGGGCACTGTGCCGCAAGTACATATTGGGAAAAGCGTCCTAACCATGAACTCGGCCTTGTCATCAAAGTCTATGTATTTGCGGATCGAATTGTCCGGAAGGCGCTCTTCCAAGACCGGAATGTGACCAAACGACCGAGGCATGGACCTTTGGGCACTGACCTTGGACACCTTGTGAATGTTCTGGCACTGAATGTCCATGTATCGACGGTAGGCTTCCTTGTCCTTGTCCTTGAGGTAATTCTCGTAGGTCCGGCCTGCTTTGGGGTCATTATCCGTTGAGCTGCTTGGCTGTGTTTCCTGAGTAACAGTTGAGCTGCTTGGCTGTGTATCCTGAGTAACAGTTGAGCTGCTTGGCTGTGTTTCCTGGGTGTCAGTTGAACTGCCTGGCTGTGTTTCCTGGGTGTCAGTTGAGCTGCTTGGCTGTGTATCCTGGGTATCCGCTGAGCTGCTTGACTGTGTTTCCTGGGGTCGGGGGTTTGACTGGGCGGGCTTGCGCTTGGACTTAGTGGTGATCTGGGGCGGTTTCCTCTTGAAAGCCAACTTCTCCCGGGCGCAAATAATGATCTCTACCACCCGCTTGACGTAGTTGTCGATGTCAAGCCTGGTCTCTAGCGGAAGTGATGCAAGCGCCTTCAAAGCCGGGCCAACTTCTTGGCGCAAGACCTTGCGCGGAACATTGTTCCACTGGTAGCAGACATCTTCCCGTAAGTTGGGGGTTGTGTCGATGGTAGTCTCCAGGATTCGATGGTCCGATTTGAAGCCGGTCACGTCGAGGCACTTGTAATCCTGAACGTGTGGGGAGAAAGCCGGCGATGCAAAACCAACGTCAAGGGTCGAGGCGCGTTCGTCTATGACCTGGCCGGGCGTATAGGTGAAGGGGATTTTTGTCGGATCCAGGAGGCATTCCATGTGGGCTGCTTGAAGCTCGTTGACAAATTTCACAGCATCCAATTTGGGTATAACATGAGGTCCTCCATACCACGGATGCGGGAAGTTGAGATCTCCGACGATGAGGCAGAATCCAGTTTGTGTTATGGTGGAAATGAAAGCCTCCACGTTCAGTTTCGTCCGACCCTCATAGTAAGCATTGTAGACGTTGTGGAGGGCCATACGAGTTGGCAATTGCGTTTCAAGATACAACGTTGCTAAAAGACGCTCGTTCTCCTCACCAGGGTACCAGTCGACAGCCCAATCAGCGAGAGGAATCGACTTGGAAACTAAGAATGCGACCTTGTAGAGAGGCACAAGTTTCAGCTTCTTCGAAATGCCCTTGTCGCGTTTGAGGCGTGCGCTTTTCTCATGAGCCGCAATAGCCCAGGGGTTGTTGAACGCGTCCAATTCGCCAGGGGAGGTACCGCGACAACAAATGTGGTGATTCTTGAACGAACTATGGGCAAAAGCCAACTGGGGTGGAGGATCTTGAATAGCGATAATGTCCCATTGCTCGGTCATTGTAAGCGTGTGGGTGTCAAGAGCCTTCATACGCACTTCTGCCATCTTCAAATTGGCTTGCGCTATCCTCAAATCGCATCGAGTTTCCGGGCCAGGGTCGAGGGCCGTGGAAGGGCTTTGTTTCACTGCCAGGTTGGTTGCAGCGGTTCTCGAGTCCGGATCGGTTGCCATGATTCTGGATGACGCCTGTATTGCGTATTAGGCGGAGGGCTTCGCAGCCCAGCTGGTGCAGTGAGGGCGCCCACATCCACGAAGACGTTCGACAACAGGTGTAGAGAGGAGTCATAGGAATGTTGAAACGGGCGGCAACAGGAGAATGAGTATACCCTTTAGGCCGGTTAACAGGGGGCCAGAAGACAAATGACAGTCAGTTGATGGGTGACGAAAGAACATACGGCAGTCAACAAGGTGCGCCTCCAGGCGGCAAACTGCGAAGAAGAAAACTTAGGAGGGAAGAAATATGCTTGAAGCATTGGGATTTCACGGCTCTGGAATTCATCTCCTTCAGGCCTGAGACGTGGTCATTTCTCAAACCGCCAGAGACAGCCCGTAGATGCCTGCCCTCGATACCCATATTATAAAGCCACCAGCGGAGGGCCAGTAGGCAAGTAATGAGGGCCATAATCCCTCCGGATGCGATTTGCAGATCCCCCTAGAGCCCTCCCCAGCGACCCATGGCTAGCCGTCCCGCCACTGAATTAGATACCTTCACTATCACTCCTTACTTAGGAGACATTGAGGTAGCTGTAGTGACTTGGAAAAGAACCATGTCTCAGGTCTTGAGGAGATTTCTGAGCTTCGTTTTCCAACAAATTCCATTTGCGGCAAAGCTCAGCTGATCCCTTTGGCGCCTGAGACATGCTCCTCTCGGCGTCTCCATAAGTGCCTTTGCTCTCCAGATTTTCGCAGACGAAAGCAACCATTCAAAGGGAAAGGGTCCAAATTCAAGCTTTGGACACCTAGCTGATTCAAGCGCCAACTAAAAGGAAAACATCTCGGGCGTTGAGAAGATCGGATAAGCATCGCCGGAAGAGGAAATTATTGCTTTGAAATGAAACACAGGGGGATATGCTGCTGCTTTAGGTACCACCCTTGGAATCGATGCCGACCAAGCGACGGCTACTTCTAATAAGCCTCCACATCACCACCCATGTGATACAAAGCCACCAGCAGAGTGGAAGCTGAAAGCGGCGAGGTTATCGAGGTCTTCCGGATGCGGCTTCAAAAAGCCCTCTAGAGCACCCAAGAGCCCCTTTCAGCAAAACAGAGCCCAGCGTTTCCGTCACTTGGCAACAGTACTTACACTACCACTACCTATGTAGGAGACATTTGGGTAGCTATGAGGGGAGCTAAAAGGTCCATGTCTCAGGCGTTAAGAAGATTTACAGTGTGCGTCATGGATTGAGAATTCCGTATCCGATTTGACTTGCTGAAATATATGGGACGTGTTGCAACAATCTTTTTCCAATCCTTGCGGCCCTTGCCATCATCATAGCACTGCTAGGACACCTCTCAAACTTCAATCCTGTGCCAAAACCCCCAACACCTATTTAAATCTCATTTTCACCGCCCACCATGAGCACGTCGAATCATATTCATCAGCCGAACACGGCCAACTTGGACGAGGAGACCAAGTTGATGCAATTGCATGCGACGTATGTCAATAGCCTTTCTGCATCCGCGGTGCAGAAGTTTTGGAGCATGGTGCACGACGACCGCCGCCCCCAGCCCCCCGTATCGAGAGCTTCGCATGTTGCGGCGACGGATAGGCGATTGATGGAACATCACGCGCGGCCGGAGGCGCCAATGATAAAATGCAAGGTCGGCACTAACGAAGATATGGCGAAGCTGAAGGCCATGGACGAAGACGGTGTCATCCGGAAACTTCAAGTGCACAAGTCGTGGCAGCACGTGAAGGGCGTTCAGATGCCAACCGGACGCAAGACTAAGAGCAAGGTCATCAGGTTTCTTCTCACGACTTACGTCAACAAACAACAAGCGATTCAAGATATCGGTGATCTCAAAGGACTTCTGGATGTTTCTGAGGCCATTCTTCTTCCTGATCTCTACCACGTTGTGGCAACGCGGCATCGGTTTTCGAAGCGTGAGATGAAGCCAGACGACATTATAACCTTTGCTGAGGTCAACGGGTTTCACCACCTTCGCGATGTGCGCTTCAGCTTTGGGTTGTTAGTCTTGTCATTCTCGGATAAGACTGAAGCCCTGGAGGTTTGTAGGAGAATTGTCTTCCTACATAGTAAGATGGGCTTCTTACTGTAAGTCTCCATGTAACATGCATTGCTTCATATGACTGTGCTAGGGTAGCCTGTTTTACTGACGTATTCCTGTCCCAGACCGTTCGACATCCGAGGCGTGCCCATTTTTTGTTGTAAATGCCAGCGGCCGAACCATCTGATGCACTCATGCGAAAATCCCGTCACGTGCGGCAAATGCAACGAGCGCCACTTCTCGTGGGAATGCAATAGTTCCCAGCTATGCTGCGCCAATTGTTTCAGGACTTTGGAAGTAAAAAAGAAGAACAATGAGAACTGCGATGGGTTCGACTTGGCGCATGAGGCTTGGAGTCCCTATTGCAAAGATTATGAGGTGGCGAGGATGTATGATCTTTGCCAAGAATACAGGCGTACTTGTCCAGGTTGGGGATTGAACGTCTATGGCACACAGGAGAATGTCGCGACGGCGCTCGAGGTTCCCGCGGGCAATACCAACGACAATCGAGAAAAACAGACTTCTACGACGCAAACTGCCGGCAATGGAAACACCCGAAAGGCACCCAACAAACAGACGATTCCGCAGTCTTCACCTCCAGCCACCCCGCAAAGTGAAGGGCTCAGTATTTTGGCAAATATTTCTCATACCACTCCAGATGACAGGGACACCACCCCCACCGCCGCTCCCAGCCAGCCTATTGTCGTGCAAGACGACATGGAGATGGACACTAATGTTTCTGGTGCACGTTTTGGGGCCAATTTCGACAAGACAATCGCAGATGATATCAATTCAAATACCTTTACTCCCAAGAAACCATTTCTACCAGGAATGAAGGCTTCTTGTGGACCAGGCGACCAGCCTGCAGGTTTCAAACGTATAGAGAAGCCGGGGGGGAGGAATCGTAGCGGACTACCAAACAAGAAGCGACCGAGAACACCACCAACCCAGTCCAACAAGATGCCGCGGTATTTCAAAACCGTCGGAGCATCAGAGAACGACCAGCGAAGTGAGAAAGATGGACTAGAGTACGAAGGAAAAGAACCAAGAGAAAGTACGGTGGATTCCGATGGTGGGGAGTCTGTCGCTGATTGAGATGATTGCGTCCCAAATCCTTTGTGACGTGAAGCATGGACTCGAGCATTCATGGATATTTTGTTCTGTAACACCGCATTGAATCTTCCTTTTTCAGATGTAGATTTCGCATTCAACAAGTCATCACCCGAAGGCCTTATTTTACTCAACTGTCGTCAATTCGCTGGCACTGATGCGCGCTCTTCGTGAACGCTCCAATCTCTCAAAGGTTGTATAAGATGCTTGTCCGGTGAAAGTTGCGCTGGGCAAGTTCTTCTCCACACGTGGGCCTGCAAAGGTGAGACGGCACCGGTGTCCACACAACGCACTTACGTAGAGAACGACGGACCTCCTTGGGTGGGGCCAAGTCATTCGACGATATGTGGGCGACAGGGAAAGACATACAGGGCACATCGGAACAGGTAGTATTCGCTTGAAGTGCCTCAGAGACCGTGGGATAGGCTGACGTCGTAGAAGTCTGCTCTCTTTCGTTTCATTGATTCACCCGACGAATTGAGTTAATACAGCAAACATTCCTTTGAATGCTCTCACCCGGGCACTGGCAGTTGAACTGGTATGGTGTTTGCAAGCTGTCGCTTCGCTCGCGCAAATCAGTCTTGACCACCCGCTCGCATAATAATAGAGCTTTATTTGGATTTCGGTCTTTCGCGCTGGCTGATAAATCACAACCGGGAGCGAGGCACACATCGATATGCTGGCATTTCGCGATCTTCGACACTGCATGCGATTCCCCATCATCTCCTAAATTCGGAAGCTTCAATCCAGTTTACGTTACCCCTGAACCAAAAAAACGTTCCGGTTCATCTCTGTTGAGACTGATCTTACCACTAGCATGTGGGGCACTAAGACTGACAGTGCCATCTCCTTAGTGACCGAGACGTGGGAGTTTTGGTTTCCACCAGGAACAATACAATCCTCGAATGTTTGTTAGCGCGGTACCTCGTTAAGAGACTGTCTCAATTTAGTGCCTGCTTTACCTCAGTGGGAAATGTTCTTTAGTCTTAGAAATGAGGAGACGATTCAGGTAGAGTGTGTAACAAACTTCTAAAGATCGTATTGTAAAGCCAGTGGGAGAATGCCCTCAGTGTTCATAGTACAAAGCCGAAGGCTCAGGAGGTGCCGGCATGCCTTTGGCGCATGCTAAAAAGAATTAGCATAGTGGTGGCACAGTAGTAAGAGGATGTCAAATTGCAAGGGTGTAAGTGACCCGGCAGACGTCAGGAGGCGCGCCGCAATAGTACGCAGTAGTACCTAGTAGATAATCCGCTCCGCAAGAGATCGGCAAGCCCTGCGCTGAGATCTCTCCGGTCTCAGGGGACACGTACAGAGAAGTCAATACACAACCTAGTCATTTTGTCGCCGGACTGTGGGGTCCCTGGCGGTCCGGGGCCGAGTGCCCGCCGGCGCGCTGGTCCAGGGCAGTCGACTATTTTAGTTGACAAAACGTAAGGTAAACTGTAGCTGAGTTCACCGCTTCATACGATTCAAGTACTTGAAACGCGTACCTGATTAAAGCCGTCGTCGGGCGCGCTGCGAAGTCGCGCCCGATTGACGCGTCGCGCGCTGTAAGTAAAGCCGTTGCACTTGATTGAGGCCGAGCGTTGGAAATCCGGCCAATAGGATGGCTCTGGCAGATGGCTGGAGGCTCTAGGCAAGATATCCAGGCTGTACAGGCAATTTAACTGGTCTCCTACCTTTCCTAACAAGGGTGCTATCTAGACCTAGTGAGATACATTTGGCTTTCAATTAATGACTGACACTTACGTAGTGCGAAGCTATGTTCAGAGACGCGATTCCGACATCCATCAAGTATGGCACCGTCAAACTTCGCACCTGCGAGACGATAC